AATATCCAATCAACTCAAATCTTGCTCCTTTGGGATACCACAATCCAATATTTTGTGTATGCTTCAAGTACCTCAATATTCTCTTTGTTGCCTTCAAATGACTTTCTCTTGGTGAGGCTTGAAATCTAGCACATATGCATACACTAAACATCACATCCGGCCTTGATGCGGTCACATAGAGTAGGCTTCCAATCATAGACAGCCATGGCACTCTTTCTAGACATTCCGAGTCCCCTACTCATTCACTTATTCTCCATCGTAGTAGGGCTCTTGAAGCTTCTCTTCGGGTAGCCCATCGCCTAGCTTAGGTTCTCCTACCTCTTCCACCATTGTTGCAACCTCCATTGTAAGAACTTCAGAGCATTCAAGCGAGGGACACGCACTCGATCATCTCTAAGACTGAACGTAGGGCCCCGGCCTAAACTAATATAAATCCTCGTGTCTTCTGGATGCTACCATCGTTTTCATAGAGCAGTGTGGCAATCATATAAGTTTACTAGTCCGATTTACGAAACACTGACAACGCCCTTGAGAGGACGGGTCGTTACATTTCCAATAAGTTGAAAAATTCTTAACAAGTCATGCTTACTTAGGATAGGTACTACTATGGATTGCGTGTCAGTTAAAGTTCTTCATGTTTAACCAAGTTTCTAGTAAATAGTATTCATGTTTATGACTCTAAATCAATTTATTATAAAAATACATTTCATAATTAATTTAATAGTTTTATTTGATATTATATTTATACTTTTTTTATCTATAATTGGTCAAACTCGATATTCTAAAACATGATTACTTTCTTTTAGAGACGGACCACGTTTGACAAAGCTAGAGATGTATTAGTACAATTTCACCAACAATTTAATCTCTTTACAGGCAAGACATCCTTTTATAGGAAATAAGCTTATAATTTTTGGATGGAAAGAGTAGTCTGTAAGGGATGATTTAGAGATGGACCAACTAATTCCCATAAAACGGAAATGACTTGAGTGAGAAGATGATAAATCAACCCAAGCCTCAAACAGTATACTTTCCGTTCTAAATTATAATTTGTTTGATTTTTTTTACCTCAAGTTTGACCGCTCGTCTTATTCAAAAAATTTGTGCAAACATAGTCAAATTTAAGTCATTTTTGAAGAACTTTGGATAATAAAGTAAGCCACAACAAAAGAAGTGACATTTAGCATAAGTTTTTGAAGAAGACGAGTTGTCAAACTTATGGTAAAAAGAAAGTCGAACAAACTATAATTTAGAACGGATTTAGTATTTCTTTACGTGCACACTGTTCTCATCGATGTCCGTCACAGCAGGCACGTAAAAGTGCTGGCAACTTGGCATGTATCATCACATAGGAAAAACACGTCATTATTGAACACTTACACATCGCATGACACCAAATAAAGAAGTGCGAACGAACAGTTACACGAGAGATTAAGAGACGAAACAGCGTTTCGTAATTATTGTTACCACGCGCAGATCCTCAAAAGTTCCTTTTCGCATCAGATGGACAGCTCCGTCGTCGCCATCTCCTCCCTCTTCTGGAGCGCGTTCGCCTCCATCTTACAGCACTTGCACGGCGGGCTCACTATCGGCACCGCGCCGCGCCATGCGCGCGTGCCCATTCTGAAGTCCCTTCGCGTGGGCGTCGATCTTACGCGCGATGATGACGGAGTTGATGACCTCGTCGTCCGGGTGGTACACTGCAAGCACATCGAACCCGCCGCGCCGGATGTCCTCCGGATCGACGATCGGGTACAGGAACCCGCGAGCCCCGTGAGCGCTCCGCACGACGAGAGCCGCTCCGTCCGCCATGTGCCTGCCAAGGTGCGCGACCACCTTGGCCTTGTCCTCGGCCGCCATGCCGACGAGCGCCGCCAGGAAGACCACGTCGTACTTGCGGAGCTCGTCCGTGAGGTTGGCGACGTCGGCGGTGTGGAAGGACATTCGCTTGCGCAGGCCCTCGTCCGCGCGGACAAGCTTCCGGGCACGGTCATTGGCGGCGCCGCACCGGTCGTAGTTGTCGAACAGCGCGTTCGGCAGGTGGCGGGCGGCGAGCACGAGTGAGCTGAACGGCAGGGGGCCTGACCCGACGAAGGCGATGCGGGAAGGCGCCAGGCCCGGGACATAGCGGATCAGGAGGTCGTACTCGAGCTTGCTCAGGTTGATGTAGTTGCTGAAGTAAGGGAAGCGGCCGAGGTGGTCGAGCGGGTTGTCGAAGGCGGCGAGCATGTCGGCGTAGTGCGCCTCAAGGTGGCCCTCGGCGTCGGAGCAGAGGCAGATGAGTTCCTCTCGCATCCTCTGCGCGTCCGGGCCGAGCTTGGTCACGTCGACGGGGCTCGGCGGGACGCAGGCCATGACGAGGTTGGTGAACAGCGCGTCGACGACGGGGGACGGGCTCAGCGACGGCAGCTTGGCGATGTCGGCGTGGAGGGCCGCGATCTTCTGCACCAGGGCAGCAACCTCCACGTTCTGGGCATCCATGGCAGTTGGTAGAGTTTCGCTGCTACAGTTGCAGTTGGGAAGCTGAGGAGAGCACGAGAAGCAGCTGATGATGTCTTTGAGCTCAAGAGCAGGCAAGTGTTCGACAACTCGTGCTGCTTGATGAGAATTGGAACAGGGACCAAGGGTATATATAGAATGTCACGGCAGTTCGTTCATCAGTGCCTCACTGTCACTGATCTGGCCTTCAGAGATGCGGCATGTAAACCGATGGCAGCTCCAGTTGATGTGCATGTGTTTTGTTTTTGATGAAACGTGGACGTATGTGGCTATGAACTACTCCAGTAGTTTATTATTATTATTATATTATTAGTAGTACCTGAGGAGGACTGCGAGCCATCCGATTACATGCATGTCGAACGCATGGCGCGCTTCACGCGTCCACGGCCAAGGCCAGTTTCATGCCTCGTTATTATTATGATGATGATGTTTACATTTCACGGCGAATGTTCCGGATCTTCGACACGTCCACGTCACGCCCTGAAAGTGGTAGCCCTGTTTTTGGTCCCTTCCCGAAGTGGGCTTGCCACGTCCACACCATGACCTGGTCAGGCAACTGAGCATCTCCACTTGAGAATAAATAATCTTCTTTTCTTAATAACGAGTGATTAAAAAAATTAAAACAAAAAACAAGTTTTTTTAAAACAATTAATTAAGAAAACTCCTCCCTCAATCCCAATAAGAAAAAGGAAGAGCAAACCAATCTCATTTCTCTTTCTCTCTAATGTTGACGTGGTCTACATCAAAGTTAAAGCTATCAATACGTAACTTTGTGGTTGATAATATTTTTTTTCTAGGTTCGTTTAGAGGCCCAAATGTTTATTTTAATTTCTCAGATTTTGAAATCCAATTTCTTTGAATTTTCCGAACACAAAAAATTCAGTCCTCTTAATGATCTCAATAAAAAAGTTATCAACTACAAAATTATAGATCATGTTGAGAGCTACAACTTTGGTGTATACCAAGTCAACACTAGAGGTAATTTGAAAAATTCAAAAGAATAAATTTCAAAATTAGAAAAACATAAAAAGAAAATTTGGGTCTCTAAACAATCTCAGATTTTAAAAGTTGTGGACTACGAGGTATAGACTACGTCAACATTCGACGACATTTGAAAAAAATCAAAAAAATTGAATTTTAAAGTCTAGTAACTTAAAACGTATGTTTAAGCATCTAAAATATATTAAATAAAAAGTTATCAATTATAAAGTCATAGATCGTGTCGAGCTCTACAACTTTGATATAAAATCTGTATTCACACTACTTCATATGAAAAGTTATGCTTTTTTATATAAGAGAAAGAGAGAGAGACCAAATGACAGGTGGGACCCACTGCCACATCAGCAAAAACATCCAACAAACCATTTTAAAATGGTCAATGGGGTATTTTGTTTGGTTTTAAAAGTTAAAATGTGTATGCTATCCGGTACTAAAGTTCAAAGAGTTTCAAATTCAACTAGTTCAGGGGACACATTAACCTTTTACTCTTTAAAGTTTGTAGGTTGTGTACCGTATCGTAATATGCAGAGATCTTGAGTGCTATCGAGAGGGTTGTATCAACTCGAACACTCGATGCAGGTGACTTCAATTTTAATAATCTCCTTATTGAGAAAAGCATCAGATGCTAGGTGCTAATGGCAGATGATAAAAAGTTCTCACTAAACACCTTCTCTAAGCACCTCCATTTCCAAATGTTCTACCGACCAATGCGAGCAAGCAGCTGGCTTACGCTGACTGTCACTGAGCCTAGCAAGCTAACAAACACAATCATACGGCGTGACTCGTACAGGAGACCAGGAGGTCATACACAAGCACCGGCGCTTCAGGCGTATCGGTTGTCTGTCCTGTATATTTCGAGAAGATACAGGCAATATGATGTGCTTTGATAGCAACTGGAAAGTGCTGCAATGTGCGCCAGTGTAATTACACTGATTTTTTTTGCCCCCAGTGATGCCCCACTGAGTAAATCAAGTCATCTCCCGATTTTGTTGCTAAAGGAACTAAGAAATGCCTAGTGATACACATCATTGCGAACTCCATTGTTACTCTTATCCTCTCGCTCCTCCATGAGTTTGGCTGCTCTGTCCCGCGCCTCTCAAATGGGCAATGAATGTCAGTACAACAGCTGCAGTAAAGCCTGGTAGCAGGTAAAATGCGACGATGCCAAGACATCGGAGTACATGATAAGCAGAGTTCCATTATTTATTAATTTATTTTTGTTTGCTGTCCAAGAATAGCAATATATCAGTTCGCCACCAAGTGCAAGAGATGGGATCAAAACTGCAAAAGGCTACATTCCTGTACAAGTTATTAATCGCAAGAATTACAGTTTCATTGGCCTCTAACAATTGAATACAAATTGACCCAGATATATCTGGGTGCAGTGGCCACCAGGGACTAGGCCTTGCCTATACCTTTTTTTTTTTGGTTGTTGTGGGGAGGAGGCTCCTACATGTCAGTAACATGATCACTTGCAGAAATCCAAACAAATATGATGCCAATCAAGCCATCCCTGGTAGACGGTAAGGAGCACCAGTTCTGGCACAAGTGCAACGATACACTTTATTTTTCCCTTTAGGCTTGCTGTCAGTTGTCCAGATAATGTTTCATGAACACCAACTGAAGAAAGTTGATCTGTACGAAATCAAGGTGTTATCATATTTTTTATGAAGGATACATATTGAGAAAAGTATACAAGTTCATGCAGATGGATGCACAATTCAACCATTAAACACTCCTCTATAAGCTACACAAAATAAAACTAACAAGTTACTGAAACTGAAACCATTTCTTTTATTATCATTTAGTATTGACATGCTTAATTTTTAAAATGCACCACAACAAAAGTTTGTTTACACGATTACATGCATTTGCACAGTAAGAGATTTAAGACAAAATTGTTAGCAGCCTGCTCCGTGTGGAAACTTTGATATAAGATAATTAAGCGGATGAGAAATTTATTTCATAGTCTGTACAATGAGCTTCAAAGCAGGTATCATAAATCCTATGTAAGACAATCTCAGGAGCGCCAATTAACCCAACAGACAAACAAGTGTGACAATATCAGGAGCGCCAATTAACCCAACAGACAAACAAGTGTATCTTTTTTCTTCATGAGAAGCAGCAAGCAAGGAAAAAACTTACCACAGAAGCGATCGTGGTAATGATGAGAGTCCCTCAGGGTTTAGACCTTCACGGGCTGCACTGCCACCACTAGCTGACAATGTTTTGTTTTCACTGTCAGCCTCTGCCACTGAGTCAACCTTGCTAGTACCGTTTACACAGTAGTTCTGCAGCCACCTATTGGTCTCCCAGAGGACGTGCATACTCTCCCTAGCAGAGTACCCATGGCTCTCAAAAGGAAGTATGACCAAATGAGATAGCGCACCATGACCTTTCAAGGCATTGAAGAATCGGTCTGACTGCAAAAAGAAAAAGGACAAACCATGAGATCAATAACACAGATTACTAAAAGTCACTAACCAGTAAAAAAAAAAAGCATAAAATCAAATCATGAGAACATAGAGGATATTTCCACAGAAAACAATGACGATTTGTATAAAACAACCAGAAGCAACAAGTCATTTTAATCCACTGGGTAAAGACACTCCAAATCAAGCAGGTTTAATATCACATACGCAAAATGAAAACTGGTATCCTGGTAAAAAAAAGGGCGTACCCAGTGCAAAGAGGACCCGCTCTATGCGGGGTCGGGGGAAGGGTGAAATCAAAACTGGTATCCTGGTACAACAACTAAAATTGTAGTCCTTGGTAGCATATGTGATTATACTTTATAATACGAGTCTACCTCTATCACTGCAGAAGTTTGGGTCACTACTTTATACGAGTCTACCTCTATCACTGCAGAAGTTTGGGTCACTTGCACTACTTGTGTATGGAATATTACTCTTGTTGCTGTTTGCTAAGATCAACTATACACAAGTCAAATTTGAATATGATAAAAAAATGCTTCTATTGAGAGAGAGAGATATTTCATAGGCTGTGAGCAGGCTTGTAGCATATGATAAAAAAACCTTCAAACATGGTAGGAAGTAGCAACAAAGTTCTAACACTTTTCCAGAGAGAGAGAGATATTTCATAGGCTGTGAGCAGGCTTGTAGCATAAGACTTGACCTGCATTGTCAGTGTCCCAGAATTGTTGTCCTGCTCTCCATGGATAAGTAAAATTGGTTTCTTGATTTTGTTTGCAGACATGAAAGGGCTCATCTCGACATATGTACTTGTTGCCTCCCAGAGTGTTCTATCCTCGTTCTGTAGAAAAATCAGATTGTTACTAAAGACTCAAAATCTGTTCCATGCATATAGACACAGCATTTGTCTGTACCTGAAAACCAAACGGAGTTAGAGTCCTGTTGTAAGCTCCAGAGCGAGCAATTCCGCAGCAGAAAAGATGAGGAGCGTGAGCCAGCAGAATAGCTGTCATGAATGCACCATACGAATGACCACCAACAGCAATTTTATCAGGGTGAGCCACCTAAAGAAATACAAGAACAGGGATCATGTCAACTCTCAGAAGGTATTGCTCAAGATAGAAGAATGTTTTAAGTATATTTGCAAAATTGAAGGCTCCACCTATGAATGAACTTTACAAAGTGCACCATAAAAAACACTCATAAAAGTGGCTGCCATTGCAAAGAACTCATTTTGTAAACATATTTGTGTGAATGAATAGGTAGCAAAGGCTTACCCCTCTTTTGACAACTTCCTCAACTGCAGCCTCTGCACTTGCTACTAGTTGTTCCACATATCTGCAATATAGTTTGTAATACTGAAATAATAAATATACTATGGTGCAGTGGCGGAGCGTGAATCAAAGTTAAGGAGGGGCCAATTATACTGTAGCATCCTTGAACTACCACTTGAGAGCAGCTAGTTGTTCTGCTGCAAGTGTATTATTTATTACTGGCACGGATATACTCATATTATTACTACTGCATCTCTACTATTGTATGGCTAACTTGCTTGCTCGGACAGTCCTGCTGCTTTGCACTAGCTAGCATGGCGGAGCTTGCACATCCGTAGCATATATCCTCATTTTTTTTACAGGGCAAGGGGGGGGCCGGAGTCCTCTATGGCCAATACGTGGCTCCGCCGTTGCTATGGTGTAATAGCATAGTTCAAAATTATTTAGTCCTGCAGAAGGATATGGAATAGATCATAAGTAGCAAATATACCTGTCATTGGCCTCTTCATCACCTTCACCAATAATTGGGATTGTTGGACCAGACAGAATAGCAAACCTGCAAATCATAGCATTCAGTGTGTGTGCATGTACCAGAAAAACATATTTGCAAGAGATGGATTAAAAAAAGTCCCTTCAAAATTTTTTATTAAAAGGTTAAAGGTGTGCAGAGGGTTATTCTACAATTTGAATAACAGAAATGGGAACATATATTGTATGCATATTCTATTATTAATGAATAACAAGAAGAGAAAAATACCCTCTAGCTAACCAAAGAAGAGGAGATGTAGCACTAATCCCTGGAAATTCATTAGGGGAACCACGAACTTGACCAGCAGCATCTTTGATTTTAAATTCACCAGGGTAGGACCAAACTAGACATGGCAAAAGGTCCACCTTTTGATGGATCATACCCTGGGGGCAGGTATAAGTTTGCTGTAAGTTGAACTCCATCCTTCCGCTGGTATCTTATCATTTCCTTATACAAGGAAGCAAGCTGAGGATATGGGTGGGGGAAATTTGTGATCTTAACTTGATTCTTTTCTGGCCAAGTCTGCAAGTAATATTGTGTGTTTTCTGTTTTTGATTCTTTCGACGTAAGTATCTTTAACTGATCAAGGGACAGTTCCTCATCAGTTTTGTCTGACATCAGTGCAACAACAGTTTCATAGTACTTTTCCCTGTCGCTCTCCCATATCCGTTCTTTACTCCCAGTATTTCTGCAAAACAAAAGGGAGGAACAAGCAATTGCATCAATTGACACATGGCATATATTGGTACTGTTATATTCTAGTAAAAATACAGAACATTGATTAGTGGGTCTAAACATGCATATCAAACAAATCGAGGTATGGAACATTTCCTTCTGGTGTGGCACCCATCCCATTCAACAAGACATAAGTATTTCCGTCTTCTTTCTTGATCTTTGCAATGACATATGTTCCCATAGCAGTTCTTCGAAACATTGGTGAGCCAGGGTTACAGTATACATCTTCTGAAGATCGGTCAAATAAAATGTGTGGGCTGACATCTTTTTTATAAGGAGAAAGCACCCATGTTCTGATTTTCCGAGTTTTAAACCAAGATTCATACACTAAAGCAAGAGATTCATCACACCAGGAGGTGCCACTGTTCCGACAAAATGAAAATCCAGAAGACAAAATGCACATATTTACTTGTGGAAATGGAACGCTAAAATTGTGATATCTGATGTGGATGGCACCATATATAACAAGGTAATGTTCATAGTTTATCCACTCCTGTATGCTTCTGCTGCCCTTTGCTTGAGTAGCTTACAAACATCAGTTGGTGTAATGGGCTTTCTGGTTGAGTACAGACTGCTTCAGATTGATGTTTTGGGTGACAATATCAGGAAGTTAAATGGTTGAATTTACCTTCATCTGGTGGATGTAATGTATGCCGCCATGCCTTGTTTGATTACTAGCGATTTTAGTCTTTTTATTCTCTCAATAACTTGGGACTGTCCCATGGCCTGTAGTTTGTTGGTTAATGAATTTCCAACAATGGAACACTGAAACTATCACCCAGCGAATCAAGGTGGCCTGCACTACGGGATACAGTAGCTTTGCTGAGTGTCAGGGGCACTCGGCAAAAGCCTAAAGACACTCGACAAATACTTTGCCGAGTGTAACACTCGGCATACAACACACGGCATTATTTTGTCGGCAAACAGTAGTTTGCCAAGTGTTTTTTTATGGCGCACTCGGCAAATAGTTAGCCGAGTGTCAATAAACACAAGTCTCGGCACAAAAATGATAACGGGATGGCACGGTGACGGCGATTTTGCCGAGTGCCCGACGGAAAAACACTCGGTAAAGTTTCTCAAGTTTGCCGAGTGTCAAGCCCAAAACACTCGGCAAAGTTTGTAAACTTTGCCGAGTGTCATCTCCAAAACACTCAGTAAAGTTGCTAAAGTTTACCGAGTGCAAGACCAAAACACTCGGTAAAGGTTGTAAAGTTTGCCGAGTGTCAAGACCAAAGCACTAGGCAAAGTTTACACACTTTGCCGAGTGTCACGCCCAATACACTCGGCAAACAAGCGCGCAACGGGCGGATTTTATGGTCACTTTGCCGAGTGTCATACACTCGGCAAAGACGAAACACTCGGCAAAAAAGGTTCCCAGAATAACAGAAATTGGTTTCTTCGCCGAGTGTTTTGGCTCGACACTCGGTAAAACGTCTCTTTGCCGAGTGTTACACTCGGCAAAGCGACCAATACCCCCTTTTTTACTAATCTGTCCCGTATAACGGACCCCTCTCAATTCACAATAAACCATCACAATTCACAATAAAGCTCACAAGCATAATTATATGTCACAGACATAATTGTATTTCACAGACATAATAAACCATCATCACAATTTACAATAAACCATCATCACAATTCACAGTAAACCATCATCACAAGTCACAACTAAGTCACAATAAGCCACAAAGGCAAATGCAATCACTGCGGAGGCCCTTGGTACCACTGCGACAAAACCGGGTCTTGAGACTGATTATTTGATGCCGCCGATTGATTCTGCACAAAAGAGAAGAGATTGCATGTGTGAGACAAGATTGATATTTATATGTGAAGTTCACAAGTTTCCAAATTGATAGTACTGTTGGAAGTCAACTACTAGCTTACTGCTCACAGTTTTGCTGTCATCTTTTTCAGATTATCAGAAATCACTGTGTGCTTGCACAATTAACACATGATGCTCAAATAATCCCCTTTTCTAGATAAAAAAATATCAACTAAATACTCGTATCTGTTCGGGGTTCCTGGTCCTGGTAGCAGTTTCCTTTGATGAACTGCTCGTCTGCTCTACGAAGCGCGTACTGTACGTACAAGTTGAAACGTTCACGCTCACGCTATATCACAGCTGCTGTGATAGTATCGCCAGATACAACTAAATGATACTACTATGTCATAGCAATAACACTTGCAGATACTCTACATCCATAGTACAGTAATTGTTTCGAAACTCCTCCGGAATTCCAATCCCAGCCTAAATAATACCTCTCCCTCCATGTTTTTTCTATGTGGCCTCCTGTCTTTGTTTTCTCTTCATTAGCCCGCAATTAGTGCTGATGTTGCTGACACGCAGGGCATCAAGACAAGACCTGGTTCCACTGATGAGCTGCATGCATGATGCATCATCAGCATCACACAGTCACACACCTCCACAAACTCATGTAATGTAGTACTCCGTACTAATGTAAAAGCTTCCACTGGATCGGCCGCCTGGCGACAGCAGCAACTGAATGCGTATAATCTAAACTACAATGGAAGTCAACTAATAGCTTACTGCTAGTACAGTGGACAATTGGACATAGATGGAAAAAATCGAGCACATTTGATTTAGTGAGTTTTTATTTAGTGCAAAAGCAAGTTAACTGAGAGTTGGGAGGTATAAAAAATCTGTAATGTTAATTAGTGAGTTTTTATGTAGTGCAAAAACAAGGTAACCATCCATCTAATATCTTGGCATAAAAAATAATAATAAATAGATCTAACATAAGGTGTCAAGTGACTCACAGGAGTAGTTGTGGGTGGCTGAGGTGGAGGGAATAGCACCGGTGGCGGTGGCAAAGCTTGACCCATACTCGATGCAAAATTCTACATGTATTGGAACATTTGGTTCATCCTCAACCGATTTTCTTCCTCTATCCTCTGCATCGTCCGCCATTGTTCTTCCTCCATGTTCTGCCGCTCGGCCACCATCTCCGCCATCCTCACCTCCATCTTCTCCTGTTGCTTCATTTCTGCTTCCACCCGGGCCTATAACATTTCATCCCAATGATACAATACAAAGCTAAAGTACGTAACAATCCACGAACGATGAATAAATAAGAAAGAACCTGGAGAGCCTCCATCTGGTACTGTGTAGCGGTTGGCCGAGGGCGTATCGCCGGGCTCGCGCTCGTGCTCCTTGCTCGGATCTGGGAGAGAGTGGGAGTAGAGGCCGTGTCGATTGTACTGTCGCCAATCCAGTACCGGCCATGCTTCTTGCCTCCTCCCACCCTCATCACGATTTCTCCATCAAGATCCTGGGTGCTCGGATCGAACTGTGGCCCATGAACCTGCCTTGCATCGCTGTGTACTCACTGACGTAGCTATGGATGCTGGGATCGCTGTACGCCTCAGGCGGGTCCTCCGGGTTGAAGTCGATGTTTGCCGTCGCCTTGCCCTTTTTGGACAGAACCCATGCCTTGAACTGGGAGCAAGGCTGGCCATCATGTGACGACGACTGTGGCAAAAATACAAAATGATTAGAAATTATGCAGAATTGAGTGTTAGAATAAAGAAATAAATTCACGTACCCATTTTTCCCTGTATTCGTCGAGGCTCGGGCTGCCTTCATGGTGTGATGCACGTGGCATCAGCAAACGCCGGTCCTGGCAAGCGGTGTGCGTCTCCACCTACCCGGGCTCCAACCACTTGTCCATCATGTATTCCCAGCACTGGGAATGCTGGGCGCACCAGTACGGAGGCACCTACGTGATCAAATGTATGACATATGAAAAATGAAATTAAGCGTAATTAATCTCATAAAAAGTAAGTATTAGTGTTCTATATGTACCTGCAAGAATTGTTCCCGGGTCAGGTTCATTGTTCTTGCCTCTTCTTTTTTAACCTTCATCCATCTGTGTTGAGCATAGTAGTCGATGATGGCCTAGACGCGCGCCTCGTAGTGCATGTCCTTCATGAGCTTCTTGGCGGCTTCTTCAGAGATGGAGGCCGCCTTGGCCTCGTACCCCTCCTGGCATCTGTAGAAGTCCTGCACATAGACTCGATGTATACAGTCATTACTTCAAGAATGTCCAATGAATGTGATGTATTGAGCAATGTAGTGCGAGGAATACTTACCCACAGCTCGCCCTTCACCCGCTCCACCTTGTTGGGGAATACCCTGCCGTCACGATCAACGGCGTCGAGGGCGGCGACGTAGTGGTCCCACGTGTAGGCCGGCTGCAGCTCTTCGCGGAACTGCACTAAACCAGGGAAGTGTAGCCTGCACAAAAGGCCAAGGATGTCGTTGACCTTGCGGTTGTGATCACCCCCACTGACCTTAATCCAACCCCTACCCAAGTGATTAAGATAAATTATTAGTTTCCATTGTAATTTTCAACATATTAAACAAAAAATTATTGAGAACATCTAAAGTTACTTACTTTTTCCCAGAGGGTCGAACCATCGGGCGTCTCTCAAGAGGTATCGGTCGCCTTAGGAGGGTCGAGGGACCTCGCAACCAGACCTCGGGACCCAGTGCTTCCTCCTCCACCTGCTCCTGCTCCTCCTGTACCTCCTCCTCGTCACTAGAGGCGTGCGCGGAAAGTACCTCCTCCTCCTCGTCACCAGAGGCGTGCGTGAAAGGTAGCTCCTCAGACGACGACGAGGGAACTACAGGCGACGGGGGCCTCGCCCCTTTACCCTTCCCTCCACCCTTGCCTCGACCCCTCCCTGAAGCTGACCCTGAAGCTCCGCTCTTTTCGTAAAGCGCCGTGATCTTCCTCGTACCGCCCACCATTGTTCAATCACCTACAATTAAAAAGAGTAAACCAATCAGCATAGATAAACAAAACATACTTAGAAAGTTATGACAAATAATAAATAAATTAGTATGGCTCATACATGTATTAGAAATAATCATCATGGTCGGGATTAGCTGGATCATAAGTCTCATCATCACTATCACGCGTGTCGATATAATCATCATGATCGGGAATGTCGTCATCACTGTCATTGCCTAAATGTAATCACTGAAGTAATTCTAAGTCCTTCACATTCTGAACCTCGTCTCCAGCGTCCTCGTCAGCAACCCTTTCATTGTCTACTTTCATTCCGATCGCTTCGGTTAATTCTATCTCAAAACTCCCATCGAGCCCATCTTCTTGGAAGAACTCTCCGTCATATGTGTTGGAGTCTATGTTGTAATCTTCATTGTTTGGTATAAGT